TGGGGTCTCTTTTGGGGTCCCTATGGGGTCACATTGGGGTCACTTTTAGGGTCCCTTTTGGGGTCACTTTTGGGTTCTCTTTGGGGTCACTTTTTCGAGTCCCTTTTTGGGTCCCTTTTGGGGTCCCTTTTGAGGTCGCTTTTGGGTCTCATTGGGGTCACTTTGGGGTCTCTTTGGGGTCCCTTTTGGGGTCAATTTTAGGGTCCCTTTGGGGTCTCTCTTGGGGTCTCTTTTGGGGTCACTTTTAGGGTCCCGTTTGGCGTCCCGTTTGGGGTCACTGTTGGGGTCCCATTTGGGGTCACTTTTCGGGTCACTTTTGGGGTCTCATTGGGGTCACTTAGAGGTCCCTTTTCAGGTCACTTTTAGGGTCACATTGGGGTCTCTTTTAGGGTCCCTTTTGGGGTCGCTTTTGGGGTATTTTGGGGTCCCTTTTGGGGTCACCTTTGGGGTCTCTTTTGGGGTCTCATGGGGGCCACTTTGGGGTCACGTTGAGGTCACTTTTGGGGTCACACTGGGGTCCATTTTGGGGTCACTTTAGGGGTCACTTTTAGGGTCCGTTTTGGGGTCCCTCTTGGGGTCTCTTTGGGGTCCCTATGGGGTCACATTGGGGTCTCTTTTAGGGTCACTTTTAGGGTCCCTTCTGGGGTCTCTTTGGGGTCACTTTTGGGGTCTCTTTTGGGGTCCCTATGGGGTCACTTTTGGTGTCCCTTTTGGGGTCCCTTTTAGGGTCCCTTTTGGGGTCTCTTTGGGGTCCCTTTTAGGGTCCCTTTTAGGATCCCTTTTGGGGTCACTTTTGGAGTCCCTTTTGGGGTTGCTTTTGGGGTCTCATTGGGGTCACTTTGGGGTCACTTTGGGGTCCCTTTTGGGGTCACTCACACTTTCCTGCAGTGGGGACATCGTGCCAAGGTGCGATCCGTGAATTCCGTCCACTGTGGGGGAAATTTTAGGGTCATTTGGGGGAGGATTTGGGGGTCATGGGGTCAATTTGGGATCATTCGGGGTCATTCCGGGTCACATTGGGGTCATTTGGGGTCATTGGGGACATTTGGGGTCATTTGGGGCCATTTAGGGTCACATTGGGGACATTTGGGGTCACGTTATGTCATTTGGGGTCATTAGGACCATTTGGGGTCACATTGGGGCCATTCGGTCCCATTTGGGGTCAGATTGGGGTCATTTGGAGTCATTAGGGCCATTTGGGGTCATTGGGGCCATTTGGGGCCATTTGGGGTCACATTAGGGCCATTTGGGGTCACTGGGGCCATTTGGGGCCACATGGGGTCATTTAGGGCTATTTGGGGTCATTTGAGGTCACATTGGAATCATTGGGGCCATTTGGGGTCATTGGGGCCATTTGGGGTCATTTGAGCCCTTTGGGGTCATTTGGGGCCATTTGGGGTCATTGGGGTCATTTGGGGTCACACTGGGGTCATTTAGGGCCATTTGGGGTCATTAGGGCCATTTGGGGTCACACTGGGGTCATTTGGGGTCATTGGGGCCATTTGGGGCCATTTGGGGTCATTTGGGGCCATTTAGGGTGACATTGGGACCATTTGGGGTCATTGGGGCCATTTGGGGTCACATTGGGGCCATTGGGTGCCATTTAGGGTCACATTGGGGACATTTGGGGTCATTGGGGTCATTTGGGGTCATTTGGGCCCTTTTGGGGTCACATTGGGGCCGTTTGGGGTCATTTGGGAACAATTGGGATCATTGGGGCCATTTGGGGTCACATTGGGGTCATTTGGGGTCATTAGGGCCATTTAGGGTCACATTGGGGACATCTGGGGTCATTGGGGCCATTTGGGGTCACATTGGGGACATTTGGGGTCATTGGGGCAATTTGGGGCCATTTTGGGGTCACATTGGGGTCATTTGGGGTCACTGGGGCCGTTTGGGGCCACTTGGGGTCATTTAGGGTCACATTGGGGCCATTGGGTGCCATTTGGGGACAGATTGGGGTCATTTGGGGTCATTGGGGCCATTTGGGGTCACATTGGAGTCATTTGGGGTCATTGGGGCCATTTGGGGACAGATTGGGGTCATTTGGGGTCATTGGGGCCATTTGGGGCCATTTAGGGTCACATTGGAGCCATTTGGGGCCGTTTGGGGTCATTTGGGAACAATTGGGATCATTGGGGCCATTTGGGGTCATTTGGGGTCATTGGGGTCATTTGG